GCAGCGCTTAGCTGCTCGGGCCTAAAAATCACACAAACTCACCTGGATGATCTGCCGGGGCTTCACGGACAGCGTGGGGAAGTTCCCGCGGCCGTGGATGGGAACGCTCTCCCCGAGGATGGAGTCCAAGCGGCGCACCTGATCCCAAGACAGGACGCTGAGCCGCCGACTCTGCTCCGGGGTATCACCGGACGACATGACGACCGCGGGTCGATGGACACTGCTGCGGGGCACGAGCACTCCTCTCGCGCGCTGGGATGGTGGTGGGAGAGTTAAAACGACAGCGGATCGAGCGTCGCTTCCCTTCACAGAAAGATCCAGAACGCGGTTCGGTGTTAGGAAAGTTTACTCAAAAGCCAGCGGACATCTCCCAGAAGCAGCAGCCACTCTTCGTGACCGTCTCCTCTCCGCAGATTAAAGATCCTCGGAACTCGCGACCGGGTCTTTTCTCACCCGGCTGGGATTACCACGCGCCTCCCCATTGGCTGGACGTAGATTTATGAACGCTCTGACATACAGAAGGGGCTGCGCCGATTTAACACACCTACCTCTCATGCGTCAGACGGACGTTCTGTCACAGGAGGAAATTTGAGAGCGCTCCATAGAACTTTAAAAAAAAAAAAATCTTCTACCTTAAAAAAAAAGAAAAGAAAGAAATTTGGTTATTCAACTGTAGAAGTGTTCTCAATCGGGGGGAAAACTCCCAGCACCCTCTCCAAACTCTGTATTCATTGCAAAAACACAAAATTTGACCAAGTATTTCACGTCTAGTTTCTAGTGCAAATGTTTTAGGACACTAGAAATAACACAAAACTAACTTACAAGTAACTTTTCACCAAGATATAGGATTTGGCTTTAAGTCAACATTCACTTTTGTTTTTTCACTTATGACATGAAAATTTGTCGTTACAAGTGGGTGAAAAAACAGCCAGTGGAACTAGTACTTTTATTTTATATTTAAGAATATTGACATAAAATAATCTCATATCTGGCTGTAGAGTTATTAGAAAGTTAGCTTTGTTTTATTTCAAGAATACTAAGATGTTTGAACTAGAAACTAGACCAGGAGTCTGCAGCCTGTGTCTCTGGAGTCCTAAGTGGATCTCTGGACCTTTTACAGAGCTCTTAATGCTTAGGTCAGAATGAACAAATGTTTATGAACATACATATAATATAATAAAAAATGTAGAATTTAGCAGTTTATGCAATTTTATTGCATTTCCACAATAGATTGAGACTAAAAAGTCTGTTTTTTTCTCTCTCTTTCAAAATGTAAACATTGAAATAAAATGGTGGCTCCGCAAAAAATATTTACAGTATTTTTGATGAATACTGTAAATATTCATCAAAATATTCATCAAAGATTATGAGTCGTTTTCTGAAATATCACGTAACATTTGTGCCTCTAAAGAAGTTTTATTAAGCCGGCCTAAGGGCATAAAATGGTTGTAAAAGGAATGTTTGACAAAAAACCTGATTAAATGTTGTGTTTTTTACAGTATGTGTCTCATCTATACACCATCTAACAGCTATAAATTGAACAATGTGAGAGTATGAGCAGAAACGTTACAACTTCATTTGACAATTAGAAAAAAAATATTTTAATCACTAAATACAACTTTCTTATCACTAATTTCTGTAAAATGTTTTTATCAGCCTTTCAGTACTGATATTTATTTACAGTGCCTTGCAGAAGAAGTCATGCTCCTTGAATTTCATCACACTGTCACATCACAACCACAAGCTTTTCCTGGATTTTGTTAGATATTTTTTAAGGAATGGACCAACACAAAGTGGCATAATTGGTCAAATTAAATGAAAGTGATGCATGGTTTCTAAAAAAAATCCTTCAGAAACAAAAAGTATTGTCTCCACATTCAACCCTCTGAATATGACACCCCAAAATCAAGTCTTCTTTTACTCATATGATTTAGTATTCAATAGTCAATAACAAACCTTTGAATTTAGGCAAAACTGATACAAATTCCAAGAGTAGAACAAAAAAGATTTGGATGTTTTGTGAATATCATAGAAGTTTATTAGAAAACATCAGTGAAATTAAATTATGAAATCAGTGGAACATAACAGCCAGCTTGACACACACTTCAAACTTACATGATCATCATGGGGAATCGACTACTAACCATTCCTAAAAACAAAAGCGTGCAATACATTTTAGATATTTATTGTGAGAAATATGAAAACCTTTTTCATAAATCATTTCCTACTTGGCATCAGTCTATCGCTAACTCCGTAAATCACCCGATACCCACAAAGTTCTGTAGACAATATGAAAAAGTTCATGTTCTGTAACGCTTTACCTGTTAAATTCAGTTTTGTCGCTGGCATGTATGTCGCTACAAGAACCAAGGAGCTGGCAGGTGCCTTTAAGCCTAAAAGTTGACCAACATGTTTTATTCTACATTTCTAACAACGTATTAAAGACTAACTGAAAAACAATCAGTGCAATAAGCCACAAATATATATCAAAATATGCTCATTGGTAGTATTGAGGAAACAAGCATTTCCTTAGACAGAAGTTACATTTTAGCACATCCATCCATCCATCCATCCATCCATCCATCCATCCATCCATCCATCCATCCATCCATCCATCACTCAATGTCAATTTAGAGTTTTAACCAAACATGGTTGTCCTGTGACCGTTTCGGAGAACAAGAGTCTCCATGCTAACACAGGAAGAAAATGCTACATTGATAGATTTTAGATAAAACATTTTTCATCATAATGTTGAATGTATCTGACTTTGTTTTTGGTATAAAAAGGTGAAGTTCTGCTTAGTTAATCCTCCAAGGTGATTTTGTGTATTTAAAGAGACGAAAGATCCACAGTTATTAATCAAGGGTTGAGTAACCCTTTACCTTTAACATTTGAACTTGATAAAATCTTCATTGCACAAACCAACTAGGAGAGAAAGTCCAACACAAACAGTGACTTCCAGTAAATGCCTGTTTTGGGGCTATGTTGGAGATCCGGATTTACCTGAAGAAACATGCAGAAGGATGTAGTTCACCTCATCTACTCTTGCATAAGTTATTGAAGACGGAGTTATTTACCAGTAGTCCTTCTTGGTCATTTTTATGACTTTAAGATAATAAAAACATGCAGAGTTATTTGCTGGAGGGCAATTTTTGTACGGAAGTGTGTTAAGAATCAGATTCAACTTCACTAGCCCAGATTGTTTACACAAACAAGAACTGGTCTTCGGTTCATAGAGATAAACACATACAGACATTAAAGGTGCATTCTCACCAGCCGTTTGGTCCACTTAAATTGAGTTCATTTGTATAAAAAGCTTTGTTTGTTTGGTGAGGTGTGAGTGAATATTCAAACTCTAATGCAGACCAAAAAAAGCAAACACTTGTCCGCCCTCAAACCTAGATCTTGGTTCAGTTGAGATGAACTCTGAAGTGGTTCAAATGAATTTGTGAATGCAAAGTGGACTGGAGACTGCTCCAAAAGCAGGAAGCGGACTATAGCGCAGGGATTTCTGGGTAAATACAACAAAACAAACCTGTATTTTCAGAGCCTTTTGTGTTGTTTCCTTCAGTGGTTTATGGTGCAGCACCACCACAGGCGAGGAGGTGAACAGGTTCTTCAAAGGGTTTGATTTGTTTGACAGTGCAGCGTGCAAGAAAACTGCACCAGCTGAAAATGGAACAAATGTTGCAACTTTAGTTTTCAATCGAACTAGCGTACTGAATTACCAGATGTAAAAACACCCAAAGCATACATAGATAAACTTTAGAGAAAACAAAATAAAGAATGAATGAAACAAGATGTATATGTACAGCAAGGAAATAAAAAAGGCAGGTTGTGGTAGTGCAAGTATGCTTATTTGGTTTCACAGTAGAGTAGCTCTGGCTGTAAGGGGTTTGTTGTGTTCATCAGAGAGACAGATTGGGGCAAAAAAAAAAAACTGTCTTTGTGAGAAAAAGTGAGTCTCATACTCACCTGCCCATCCGCCATTCAACACTCCTTCATCCACCTCATCTCCTTCCAATGATCACAACCACCACCTGGAAACATTCTATGACCTGCAAGCTCCCCTACTTCATCATTTTGTCACCTGTTGATTGTACGACTTCCAAGATAGTCACTTACCTCTCCTGATCCGTGTCATCCCAGAATCCTCCCCAAAAACCAGAAGAACCCAAACAGTTCATGTCCACTTACCGTTGTTAGTAGTTGTTGCTCGCACCAGGGTCTTTCAAAAACTAAGTACAACAAGTCACAAGTTGAATGTGTCACCCACCAACCTGTTTGCCCAGTAAGGAAGCTGCTGGGGGATCAAGCCGGGGGCCTGTGATGTCCTTCAGATGCTTCAACACCAGTCTCTCAAAGGTTCTCAGAACCACAGACTTCAGCATCTAGATCATTTACAGCAAAACTCAAACAACCTTTGACCTTTTGCTTTTAAACCCACTTAAATATTCATTGCACAAACCTGTGCAATGAATATTGCACAGGTTGTCCATATTTTTTAGGGGAAAAAAATACAACACAAAGAGTAACTAAAGACTTACATCCTGTAAATGCAGGTTTTAGGGGCTGTTTTGGACAGCAAAAGTAACCAGAGGTAAACCTGTTATCACACAAAAACATCCAAACACAGAGGCATTTACTGTGACTTGTCTACTCTTGGAAAAGCTGTTAAAGATGCAGTTGAGTCGATCAGAATTTTTGTAAGTTTCAAACAACAGAAGGCTTAGTTATTTGCTGAAGGCCAAATTTTTCTACCTTACTAAGTGCTTTAGAAATTGCTTAGCAGCAAAGGCCAAGTAACCCTTGACCTTTGACATTTAAAAACTTAATGGTAAAGACCTGCTAGGATTGTGTTGTTTGTTGGGGGCTGGAAGGGTTTCGTGTTGCTGTCACAAGGCCAGTAGAGATTCTTTTCAGTTGTAGTGGCAACACAACCTGTGTGAAGAAAGCAGTTTCATCAAATCATCTGAGGGTTTGATCAGACTTCAATTGGCTTAAGCTCATCTAAGCCACAGGGCAGACACACCTGCCTGAAACTTTTTAAGCCACCTAAGCACAGAATCTGGTCCATCTTCCAAGGATAAGACATGACTTGCTTCAGGATTTCTACATTATTACTTCAACTCCCATTGGCTTTAATGTTCAGCCATTGTTTGTGCAGGACTGCTATGTTGCAGCCTTGTTGAGATTCCTTTAATTTAGCAGACTACTAGACTATTACTCGTAGGCTAAAGCTGTTTTGTCTAGAGAGTCCCATTCGTTTGGAGAGATATGAATGGGTAAATGAACTCAAAGAAAAACTCTAATCCGTTTACAAACCGGTTCGGTTGAACTGAACTCTGGCACAGTTCGAATGCCTATATGAATGCCAAACGGGCCAGAGACCGCCCCAAAAGCAGGAAGCGTACTGCAGTGCAAGGCATTCTGGGAAAATAAAAGCATGTCTATTCTGATGTGGTCAAAGAAAAAAAAAAAATACCTCATACGGGGGAGGTTTTCAGCCA